TTGTTCCTCGAATGCCTTCAGGGCACATTTGGCCAGCTTGAGAGGTGTGAGGTTCCAACTCCAGCAACCTGAGACTGACAGCTTTGTGGAAGCAGCCACTTAAAGGACTGAGCTAGGGCCAGGCCCCCAACAAATCTTGACAATGTGTTGATGAGTGGCAGTGCTCTGCCCCAACACAGTGGAGTCTGAGATTAGTGGCAAATGAGAGGCCCTGAATATACTTTTACAGCATTTGAAATGATTAAATATCCCCCAGAAACAGATGTTGAAAATGTCAAAAAGATGGGTTCTGTTAAAAGCAAAAAAATAGAATTATAACTTTTATTTTTTTTCAGAACCGGGGATTGAACTCAGATCCTTGTGCTTGCCAAGGAAGCACTTATTCCACTGGGCCATCTCTCCGGCCCAACCCAACAAATTTTTAATGTGAGGGTTTTTTTCCTAATGTATTTGGTACAGGGTCTACAGGGCTTTCAGGGTGTTCAGGGTCTCACTAGGTAGATCGCACTTGTAATGACCCTCCTGTTTTCAGCCTCCCAAGTGCTGAGATTACAGGCTCGCGCCCCCAAGCAGCCTCAATAGCCTCAGCGCGCCCCGGGGGGTCAGGGCAGGTGCTTCAGTCCGCAGAGCTATCTGGCCAGCCCTTGGTGAGGGTTTTAATAGGCCTATTATACATTGTATTTTTTTAGGGGGGATACATTTTAAACTATTTTGGGAGGAGGAGAGCCATTAAATTACATAAAAATTAAAGAGAAACAAAAATACAGAAGTGTTTTAAGCTGTTGTTTCTGACTCCAACGTAGCAGACAGGGTCTTGCTATGTGTTTCAGGCCAGCCTTGAACTCAGAGACCCTTCTGCCTCAGCCTCCCAAGTGCTCGATTGCTAATGTATTGCCTGCTTGGTATTTGCATCGGAGGCCCGCTCTCTTCCTCATGAGGTTGGAGGCAGGTATTTCAGCAGTACGATCTACATCATTGCCTTTCTCTCCCTCCTCTTCTACTAAGAATTTCTAACAAGTCATCATACTAACAAGTTAGCTCTGGTGATGATGTAAAAGCCATTTAAATTACCTTTTCTCTGTTTGGCTCTTTTCCCTTTTAAATTTCATACAGCTCTTGTCCGAACACACGGACAAAAGTTATCAGAAACTTCCTTAAATGAATTGTGCTGTAGTAATCCGTGGATCTGAAGAGAAACGTACATGATATTGAAGTCTAACCTGTACGCATGACCTGAAGTGATGAAAGGCGGCTCTTTTGGTCTTGGGGTTGCATTAGATGTTTAGTTCAGTGTTTGTTTTTTCCTGGTTGCTTTCTTCCCGTTTCTGTTTCATGCACGAGAGTGATGAATACTCAGGATAAGAGGAACCAGCTGGGCTGTTCACTGTGTTTGCAGCAGAAAGTGCAATGTAGCAATCTACAATATTAAAGCTATATAGTAAAAGTACAAAAAAGGAGTCCATCCGTGGGTTTCTGTAGTGTAGCGGTTATCACGTTCGCCTCACACGCGAAAGGTCCCCGGTTCGATCCCGGGCG